CCTAGAAAGGAATTAAGACCTCCTTTAGTTGTCATGAGCTCGTTTTTTTTCAGAAAACGTCCACTGAAGTAGCTACTTATAGTATAGCTTATACCAATTTACGACGAAATCTGAGTTGTAAAGCAACCTGATATAGTCGTATAATTATCTCTTCAAAGCTTTCGACAATGTACATGTTGGACTCAGTTGGATGCTGTCTTATAATTTGCAGTCTTTTTATAAGCCTGTAGAGAGTTGCAACATCTGAAAGCCAAAACTTTGGCTGCACTTCAAGTCGTCGCGCGCATAGTTGGTCCGTTTACGTTGAGTTCTGCCCTCGAGTCAACATCTAATAGACCTAATCTGAAACCATTTATTTTCGCACGTCCCTGGTACTGTTTGGTGTAAGTTGCGACCATGGATGATAAACTTGGCCAGAACTATAGAAGTTGATCTGATCAGTTAAAACTAACTATTTCGATACAAGCTATTTTGCCCAATATCACTAATATAGAATCGATCGGACAGGCTTTTACCCGCGAAACTGTGAACCATCTTGGTGGCAATTAGATACCAGTTTAATTAGTCAAAATTATAACGAGTGGATAAAATGTGGACAACCAAAGCGTGTATTTTAAACGTAGGTATGGAGGCAAAGATTGTGTAACTACTACTTTGTTGGCAGTTTCCCTTCGCTGTGTTGAAGTCGTTTTACCACATTTTCGTGACTATCATGGTAAAGGATGTCAGAAAATGTATATGCTTCGAGGACATAACATAAGGTCATAACATAAGGGAGAGTAGCTTAGACCTGGAATCAATTGTCTTTGATGGTTCTTTGCTTTGGTAAAAGGCCCTGAAGTGTTAAACTTACTTCCATTTTGAGTGAAAGTGTTTCGTGAAGAGATTCGAAGGTTGATTCCACCAGAAGATGAAGGCGGATTCCAGCTGTCGATTGGCTTTATTGGAAGATTCATGCTGACGCTGATTCCAATGTAATCTTTGATTCCGGTGAGAGGTGCTAAGCTTTCGTCCGTCATATGAAGAACATCATCAGAGCAAGGTATCATCGTCACAACCAAAGTTAAGCCAACGAGTCAAGAAAACTCATCGACAAATCCTTAAAAAAAAGAGTACATATAGAGCTCTTTAAGGATTTGCAGGTGAGTTTTCTTGACTCATTAGCTTGAATTTGGTTGTGACGATGATGTTCGTCATATGACGGACGAAAGCTGAGCATGTTTCACCAGAACCGAAGGAGATTATCTCGGAAGCAGCGTCACCATGTTCCAATAATGCCAATCTATAGCTGGTTAAGAGGAATCCGCCGTCTTCTTCTGGTGGAATCGACCTTCGAATCTCTTCACCAAACACTTTCACTCGAAATGGAAGTAAACACAACAATTATGAAACAATAGATCCTTCGAAACCCAAATTTTCTTCGAAGTTTGCTTAGCCTAGGACTCCGTTTGTAAAGCCAAACATGTTACAAGCAAGGGCTGGTTCGTAATATATGAGATGAGGTAAGTTAGAGTATGGACAATAATGGGAAAAGTACTGCGGCTAATATTGGACATTTCAGGATTACCGCAGTCTCTTTGATCTGAAGGCTCCGGCGAATATTAACTAAATATTGTAACTAAAGAAATCCCAATATTTTTGTTAGAGTGTAATCATAGCCAGGGCAGTCGCGTAGTATAAATTGCCAAATCTGTGCATTCTGAAGAAGCTAGCAGGAAGTTATCACAAATTGTGCCACAGAAAGATATGAAAGCATTTTTCTGCGTGTGTGAAGCTACCGGGCACCGTTTCTAGGGCTTTAATTAATCGAGCTTTTTATGCGTTCATAATCACAAAGCCAGACAGACTGCCTATTGCATAAATCTTCTTTTGTATATATATATATATATATATATATATACGCTTATCTGCGTGAAATCGGCTTTGCATGAGTTACATGGATTTCTGGTAGCGCCGAGTTCGGAACGATTGTGAAATATAAATGATGTGAACCAATGCACACATTAGGGCAAACCGAGGGATATCAAAGGACACGAACCAAAATATTCATCATGACCTATTTACAGAAAGAGTTACAACCTTGTGACTGGCTGGAGCGTCTGACTATATTTCTTGCGCATGTATGCCTGAAGATGTG